GCGTGGGCCGAGGGGCTAGGGGTGGGTGTTAAAAGTTGATCGGCACTACACATGGTCAGTAATCCTCCACAGAAATGTTAACTCAATTTGTCAGTATTATCTTTATGTCAACAGTAATGCTTAAATATTTACAATAGGCATAGTACTCCGAGGGGTTAGTAATGCAAGATAAATTGGAGAAATGCTAACAAAATGGATGGTACTAATAGAAGCCCTTGGCACTCAATGCACTACCTTTCTCTTCTCTTCTCTTTTCTTTTCTTTTTTTGACGCAAAGGAGATTGCCTAAAGTTGGACTTTATTCTGTTATCATATTTTGCTCACTGACCCAAAGATTGCTATTAATACCATGCAGGATTTCAGGGGATCCTACGGGGTTACCTTCTGTAATCGTACATCGAGTCTTTTTGTGGCGCATGCTGAGATTGTTTGCTGCTTTCACTTTGATGAAACGTTACACAAAAGACAGGTTGCAGTCACCTCTCCACCCCCACCCCCCTGGTCAGATTCTATCATAGTTCCTGCCGGTTCTCTTATGTCACTGCTTAGAGGTACTTTAGCAAGGTATATAGAGGTAAGCACTGCAATTAACTCCAGCACAGCGTGCAGCAGGGGTTCTCAAACGGTGGCTTGTGGACCAACAGTGGTCTGTGGGGTTCATTCAGATGTTCCATGGCCTGTTATGGGTTTGTGGTTGAAGATGGTCTATTGCATTAAATATTTGTATTGATTTTAATTGCATTTTAATTGCTTCTTTTATTCTTGCATTGCAAGGGGGGCCTTCAAACTCTATACAGTGGTACCTTGGGTTATATACACTTCAGGTTACAGACTCCGCTAACCCAGAAATAGTACCTCGGGTTAAGAACTTTGTTTCAGGATGAGAATAGAAATCATGCTCCGCCCGCACGACAGCAGCAGGAGGCCCCATTAGCTAAAGTGGTGCTTCAGGTTAAGAACAGTTTCAGGTTAAGAACAGATCTCCAGAACGAATTAAGTACTTAACCCGAGGTACCACTGTAATTCTATTATTCTTGTGAATTGCATTTTATGATGCTGCAATTTGAATTCTATGGAATGAAAATTGTAATGCAATAACATGACCATTTTGTGTGGGGGGGGTTCCATTCCTGCCCCCCCCGGTCGATGGAGCATGGTTAAGCCCACTCTGCCCTGCTTCACCACCATTCCACCCCATTCTGCCCCTGTTCCTGCCCCATTATGCCATCCTCCAGGTCCCAAAAGACCCACACCTCATGTAACATGCCAACTGGACAAGTACAAAATTGTTGCCGCCTATATAAGAAACAAAAGAAGCAATAAAAATGTGATTAAAAACCATAAAGTATCTAGCATAGGCAGCATATTGCTACAATGGGCAAAACAAAAAACAAAAAAAGGAGAAATCATTAAGTAGACCACCAAGAACCTCAGCAATTTTCAAGAAGTCCACAGAAAGAAAAAAGGTTGGGAGCCACTGGCTTACAGGACACTTGCTTCAAAAGTATAGTTGGTTAAGTATATAGTCGCATGGCAAGCTGATATATGCAAGTGCATGCACAATAAGTTCACTGCACTTATCTATATTATGCCTGATTTTGTTCCTTTGAGAAGGGCTTGACTGGAGATAACTGATTTGAATATTCGTTGTGGCTGTTCTGTTGTCCAGACCTGCCTATCCAGGGCCCAGGAATGTATTTTACCAAACAATACCCTAAAGAGTAACACACATATATATGCCCTTATTAAGTAATATTAAAAGGCAAAGGACCCCGACAGTTAAGTCCAGTCGTTTTATATATGACTTTCCCAGTGACTGATTATGATTTTTTTATTATTATGAATTGCGAACACACAAATACATCAAGTACACATAAATAAAACTAAAAAGAAAAATAGAGAATGTAAAAAGAAAGAAGAAACAGAAAAAAGAATTAAAAATAGAAAGATAGATAACAAATTTCAAAAAAGAAAAATATAAATATTTTCATATCAACTTCTACATAGGGAGTTCAAGCCTTTTTAAACAGCTTCGGCTTGGCTCCTTATTTCATATCTCTTGACTTTCTGCTATAGATGAACATACTTGTAAATCAATTTTTTCCAGATAACTGTATTCAAATGGTAAATCTTGGAGATAACTGTATTCAATGGTAAATCTTGGAGAGACAGTCAGACTGATTAAGATTTGGCAGCTGGGGCCACAGGAAGTGACTTCCAGATCCTGCACTCCCAACCTGTGTGCTTGTAGCTGCACTGAAACTTATTACCGGATCACAGATTTTGCTGTTTGTGAACTGGGCCCAAGACTCATCTATTTGACAGGACGTTTGTTCAGTTTGAAGGATGTCTCTCAGACACTGGAAGTCCGTCATGCGCGTGGAGCTACCTTTCACAAGGACTTCCCCTCTCACTGCTGTGGAGAGGATAGCTCTGCGTGCGTAAGGAGACATGTCCAAGTAACTTCCATTGAAGTGAATGGGGACACCCAACAGTTGTGGGGGATCACTGGGGCAACTATCAGCACCTGAATGAGGAGGCTGCCATTTTTAATTTAAAAAAATGACTACATGAGTCTAGAGTAGGATAGAGCATAAACCCAGAGAAATACATACAGCACATAGTCTATGTATATAAACAGTACATTGGTTTCTTCTTCTTCTTGGATGTCCATAGGGCTATGCAACTGTTTGGCTTAGCGTGTGTATGTGTGTGTGTGCGCGCGCGCACACGCGCACGCACACACTTGTGTGTATCCCTGAATGTTCTTTATGTGCTGAAAAGAACTCTAAACTTAGTTGGGTCTATTTCCTTCCTTTTTTGTTTGGGGGGAAAAATTAGATATGTTCCACTACCTTCATTTTCCCCCACTTTCATCTTCCAGGGAGAATGTGCTTTGTTAGTTCATTAAGGAACCCAGCTGGGATTTGAAAGTTTCTTTGAAGGAAGCACAGAAGCAATGTTTGGAAAAGGTATGAAATCCCATCTTGTCTTTGAGCTGTCACTCACGCTTTGAGTCTTTTGCCCCACATTCTATTAGTCATTCTTGCACTGGACCTGTGATATCCGATTCCTTTTTCTGCGGTTCCCATCCTTTGTCTCCCACTCTATTCTCTTTACAATAACACTATTCAGATAAGGTATGTCTTTGAATTGTCAACTACTACTTTTTCCCCTCCCCAGCCCTTGTAAGGATACCCTTAGTAGTTTGGAGCATACAAAGCCGAGGTCCTTTTTACTGAAATATTACGGATCACTTTCAAAAACGGCACAGCAGAGCATTAGCTGGGAGATTTGTGTGGGTTTCCCCACCCCCACCCCTTCTTCTTCATAGTTTACCTTGCAAATGATGGAAACCCTTCTTTGATAAACAAAAGAATGAATAGAGCACAGCAACAGATATAGTTGTTGTATGCTCCTTGTGGATTATGGCACTGAAGAGAAAAATGTAGGAGGCTTAGGCTCAGATAAGGCACCTTTCAAATGCCTTTGGTGGCTCATTGCTCATAAATTTGTTCAATGCCAGAAAGTTTAAAGATTTCTAAAGAGAAAGTATCAGAAGCAGCTTTGAACAGTGCAGAATATGAAGGGGGAAACCACATTGGAACACAGGGATGATCTGCGGTGGAGGTTTTTCCCCTGAAGGGAAACCCACTTGCATGCAGTTATGAACTCTGCTTGTTTTGCGAAAAATAAAAAAATAAAAGTGGCAGCTTAACAATGCCCCTGTGGTGAGTGCCTGAGGGCCCTGCTCCTTCTTGCCACTTCCCATCTGGCCTGGGGCGGGGCCTGAAGCCTCACAAGGACTGCTCTGCTGCCCAGGAAGACTCCCCTGTGGTGAGTGCCTGAGGGCCCTGCTCCTTCTTGCCACTTCCCATCTGGCCTGGGGCGGGGCCTGAAGCCTCACAAGGACTGCTCTGCTGCCCAGGAAGACTCCCCTGTGGTGAGTGCCTGAGGGCCCTGCTCCTTCTTGCCACTTCCCATCTGGCCTGGGGCGGGGCCTGAAGCCTCACAAGGACTGCTCTGCTGCCCAGGAAGACTCCCCTGTGGTGAGTGCCTGAGGGCCCTGCCCCTTCTTGCCACTTCCCATCTGGCCTGGGGCGGGGCCTGAAGCCTCACAAGGACTGCTCTGCTGCCCAGGAAGACTCCCCTGTGGTGAGTGCCTGAGGGCCCTGCTCCTTCTTGCCACTTACCACCTGGCCTGGGGCAGGGCCTGGCAGGCCTCACAAGGACTGCTCCTGCCACTTACTATCTGGCCCAGGGTGGGGCTTCACAAGCATGGTTGTTGCCACTGATGCTGCTACTGCCCAGGAGGACCCGGAGGGGTGCAGAGTTCTTTTAACATGTTTATTATTATTATTATTAAATATTTTCCTTTCCCTTTAGATTTTTTATATATGGGGGTGGGATGGATGTTTGGGTGGGCTTGGGAATTTGTTAGATTTTGATGAATTTGTAATTTTTGCAGTTTTTATTTGTATTGTTTTATTGTTTTCTGGGTTGTTTTGTTTTTTGTTTTTATTGTTTTAAGGTTTTATTGTTTTAGGCTGCGAAAGAATGCCATCAATGGAGGCTACCATGAGGCCTGGGATTGCTACCGTGGAGGTCGAGGGAGGTATGGCGGTGGGGGCAGATGTTATAGGCGAAGGGGATCGAGATATGGATACGCTCGTACCCCTTCCAATCTGCGCCCCATCCCAAGGGACGAGGGTAGGGTGAGCAAGGATTACTCACCTCCGTCACTGGTGCTGTGCAATGCCAGGTCTATAGGCAATAAAACCGCCACCCTGCGAGATTTCTTTATCTCGCAGGGGGTCGACCTGGCTTGTGTGACGGAGACCTGGGTGCGCGAAGGGGCAACAGTTACCTTACGAGAGATGGCGCCCCAGGTTTCTCCGTCCTCCACCAGTCGCGGACTGTGGGCCGGGGGAGGGGTGGCATTATTAATCCGGGAAGATTGTCCTTTCAGGGCTCTACCATCGCCATCGATCCCCGGCATTGAATGTGTTGGCCTAGTGTGGGGCTCCGAGGAGAGCTTGGCTGTCTGGCTGGTGTACCGGCCACCTAGCGCACCAGCAGCCACCCTGTCAGGCCTATTGGAGGCGGTGGCCGGCTGGGCCTTGGAGTTCCCTAACCTATTGGTATTGGGGGACTTTAACATCCATGCTGATGCCACTCCCTCCTCACAGGCTCTGGACCTGGTGTCTTCCATGGCGACACTAGGGCTCTCCCAGTTTGTTTCGGGCCCCACACATCAAGCAGGCCACACGCTGGATTTGATCTTTGGCGTAGGTATAGATGTGATCATGTCTCCTTCGATGAAGGTGCCATGGTCTGATCACTACGCTCTGAAAGCCAGGATTGACTTTCCACCCCCACCCTGCTTAGGTGGCGAGCCGATTTGGGCTCGCCCGCAGAGGCTGATGGACCCTGATAGATTCCGCCAAGCCTTGCGGGACCTTGCTCCCCTGGCGACTCATTGACTGAGCTTGTTGAGGGCTGGAATACCCAGCTCCTGGCAGCCATCGATGAGATCGCACCTAAGCGCCCTCTGCGACCCCGCAGAAACCGGGCTCCCTGGTTTACCGAGGAGCTCCGGAAAATGAAGCGGGACCTCAGACGGCTAGAGCGAGTATGGCGGGGTGCCCGTGACGGAGCCTCAAGAACATCTTATAGGGCTTTTATGAAAACCTACGAGATGGCGGTGAAGGCTGCTAAGAAGTCATACTTCTCGGCCTCCATTGCATCCGCAAGCTCTCGCCCGGCGCAATTATTTAGTATAATCAGGTCTTTAACGTCCCTTGAGGGACAGCCAAATTTAAATAACAATTTGACACACAGCTGTGAGGCATTTGCGAGCTTTTTGCGGAGAAGGTCTTGTTGCTCCGCCATGACCTCCCGGCCAATTTGGATACAATAAAGGAACTGGAGGCCCCTCGACTGTCCTCGGGTCCAGTATTGGACCACTTCGACCGGATATCCCCAGCCGATGTGGACAGACTCCTCCGAGCTGGAAAGCCCACCACCTGTCCTCTCGACCCGTGCCCGTCTTGGCTGATTAGAGCGTGTCCAGACGAGGTGCGGGCCCTCCTGGGGGATATCATCAATTTGTCCCTTGGCACGGGGACATTCCCAGGGGAACTGAAGGAGGCAGTGGTGCGCCCGCTCTTAAAGAAAACATCATTAGATCCTTTAGATCTATCCAATTACCGCCCGGTTTCGAATCTTCCGTTCCTGGGTAAGGTGATTGAGAGAGCGGTTGCTGAACAGCTTGGTGGTTTTCTGGATGAAACATCAGCTCTGGATCCATTCCAGTCCGGCTTCCGCACTGGTCATGGGACCGAGACGGCTCTGGTTGCCCTAACAGATGATCTTCGTAGACAGCTGGATCGAGGCGGGTCGGGGCTGCTGATTCTTCTAGATCTGTCAGCAGCTTTCGACATGGTCGATCACGAACTTCTAGACCACCGCCTTGCCGACGTGGGGATCCAGGGCACAGTCCTTCAATGGCTGCGCTCGTTTCTCTCTGGTCGGGGACAGAGGGTGGCGCTTGGGGGGGAATTGTCATCGCGCCACTCCTTGGTGTGTGGAGTACCTCAGGGTGCGATACTCTCCCGATGCTTTTCAACATCTTTATGCGCCCCCTCGCCCAGCTTGTTCGGAGTTTTGGGCTGGGTTGCCATCAGTATGCCGATGACACCCAACTCTATCTGTTGATGGATGGCCATCCTGACTCGGCCCCAGACACACTGACTAGATGTTTGAAAGCTGTGGCTGGATGGTTTCGTGGGAGCCGGTTGAAGCTAAATCCTTCGAAGACAGAGGTCCTGTGGCTGGGACGGGGCGATATGGGATTGGGGGGGCAACTCCCATCTCTTGCGGGGGCGCAATTAGTGCCAGCACCGTCCGTTAAGAGTTTGGGTGTAATCTTCGACACCTCCCTTTCCATGGAGGCGCAGATTGCAGCTATAACAAAGGCGGCATTTTTCCATCTCCGCCAAGCTAAGCAGTTGGCTCCTTACCTCTCTCGCCCTGACCTAGCCACTGTGATCCATGCGACGGTCACCTCCAGACTGGATTATTGTAACTCGCTCTACGTGGGGCTGCCCCTGAGACTGACCCAGAAACTCCAGCGGGTGCAGAATGCTGCAGCGAGATTCCTTACGAGGTCTTCGCTGCGAGATCACATTCACCCGGTGCTATACCAGCTGCACTGGCTCCCGGTGGAGTACAGGATCAGGTTTAAGGTGCTGGTTTTAACCTTTAAAGCCCTATACGGCCTAGGACCCTCGTACCTACGGGACCGCCTCTCCTGGTATGCCCCACAGAGAAACTTACGGTCTTCGAATAAAAACATCTTGAAGGTCCCAGGCCCCAGAGAAGTTAGGCTGGCCTCAACTAGAGCCAGGGCTTTTTCGGCTGTGGCTCCGATCTGGTGGAACACTCTGTCACAAGAGACCAGGGCCCTGTGGGACTTGACATCTTTCCGCAGGGCCTGCAAGACAGAGCTGTTCCACCAGGCCTTTGGCCAGGGCACAGCCTGACTCCCTCCCTCGGCAATCTTCGCGGAGCTCTGGCCCAATGGTTGCCAGTGGCTTGAATTAATTAATTTTATAACGAATGATTTTAGACTGTTGTTTATGCTGTACTTTTGTACTGTTTTATTGTTGTTAGCCGCCCTGAGCCCGGCTTCGGCTGGGGAGGGCGGGATATAAATAAAATTTATTATTATTATTATTATAAAATGAACAGCAGTGATTCAGATCTGCATGAGGAAGACTCGCTTTCAAAAGAGAACAAGGATGTAAATCATAAACTTTTCCCATTCTTTTTTTAAAGTTCTTGTCTTCTTGATTTCTGAGCTTCCCAGTTAATTTTGCTGTTTCAACATAGTCCATCAACTTGGTTTGCCATTCTTCTCTAGTCGCGGTTTGTGATTTACTTAAGAGACCTCTGCAAGCAAGTTAAAACATTGGCAGGATTTTAACCACACTTGTAACAGAGAGTATGGATAATTTAGAAGGATAAAAATTTGGATAAATATTGATATGCAGTTGTAAATATTATCATTAGGACCCATAAAAGGGATGGGGGGGGAGTCAGGAGTTTCAAAGTAATCTCGATATTTGGACTTTGAATTGTTGTTAGTAATTTGTTTATATTATTTAAAATCAAATAAAAATATTATATAAACAAAAGGGAACAAGGATGCACTGTCAAACCATTTTCTGCACGTGATGTAAAATAGTGACTCACACCATGGTTTAAGAAATTGCAAGACAATAAAGAGCATTGACCAAAAATGAAAAAAGAAATTGCAGGAAATGGTATCAAAGTGAACAACAGGTATCTGCTACTCTTATTATTTGAAAATGGTAAAAGCATAATCAGGCCTTCGTTTAATATCCCATTGACCGCCTTAATACTGCTACATATCACATGCATGGACTGACATAGATTGGTGGAATTTTGGCTTTCAGCACCATTCCCATTCTGCAGAGGTAAGGAATCTATTAGGATGGTCTGCCCTCAGAGGCTGGTGGATCCAATAGATTTCCAGGTGGCTGATATGGCTGGCGCTCCTGTCAAAACCCTGGCCAAACTCTGGAACATCCAAATGGCTCAGGGTCTGATTGCCCTTCCCTGCTGCATCGGGGCAGCATTATTTGCTCTTCTGTTCTTGTCCACATGGTGACAGAATGAAGGCAGAAGCATTGCCCTCACTCTGATTTGGATTCACACCTCATCCTGTATCAGAACCTCATGGTCAAGTATCATCATGATGAACACAAAGCAGAATGGCAAAATGCTTCCTTTTCTGTTTCAGAAGGGCATCTGTTAAGTTGAAAGGGTTATTTAAAAGTACACATCTAATCATACCTTGCAGGCACAGGAAATTCAACATACTGCTACTGTTCATAAGGTCTTGCCCATTCAGTTCAATGCCCTCACTCTGATTTGGCTTCAGACATCATCATGTGGCCCAAATCTCATTAGCTACATAGCATGTTCATGAAACCAAATCAGAATGAGGGAAATGTTCCCTTCTCCCCCCCCCCCCATCTGCCATCATGTGGAGAGGCGGGGGGGAGAATGACAGCCTAAAGTAGCAAGCAGTCCCCTAAAAAATCACTCAAAGGGAGGGAGCATTCATCAGAGCTTATGAACAAGATGGTAAAAGAAGGGGGCATTTCAGGTCAGGCCTAGTTGCATATGCCAGCCACGCTTTCAACCAAGTTAATGGCCTGTTGGAAACACCATTGCACCCTAATGGCTTTGAACTCAGCCGCAACACACCTACTTGAGAGGAAGGAGAATCAAACACCTCCATTGGAAAGCTACACTCAGAACTGTTCACTATCTCAAAAGATGTTTCACTTCATGCATGTGGGGAATGGAAGCCGCTGAGATCCTTCAATAATAGCAAGCCGCTAAAATCCATTAAAACTGTCCGTGCTTTTTGCCTAGCCAGGATCCCAGCAGGAAATCGCTTCTTGGCTTCACTTGTAGCCTATGGCAAAGTTCCCATTGACTTCTGTAGGGCAACGATTTCACCCACAGCAATGTTTACTTGCAGATAAGGAGGCCCAGCTGAAAACCTGGCGCTCGGGACACATTTTTACTCATTTGTGATCATGGGGGAGAACGCGATGGGGGAGTGAAGAATTAGTTCCCTTGGCTTGCACCGCATCATACCCCCCTGACCACTTGCAAGATAACTGATCTCAAACCTTAGTAAACCTGAGATGCAAAAAATGGAGGAAGTTCCATTTTCTTGTCCTGGCACTTACTCCCCAGGAGGCTCCAGAAGTAGCTGTTGGCTGTGACTCAATCTTTATGTTTAGATGTGTCACATATTTGGCCGGTTATGTGATCCATCTTTGCTGCTTTGCACTCTTAAAAAGTTTTTTTTTTCCAGCCTCTATGGATTTTTAATATTTGTAAATGAGGTGCCAGTTGACTCCCCATAAACTTGCAACACAGCTCATTTTCTTATTTCAATAGCCAGCATGTGCAGCTTTGACGATCTCCCAAATGGATTTTGCATGAAAATAATCCAGTGTTCCCCTATAAGATGCTAGTTACTTATAAACAGAGACTTTGGGGGGGGGGATCTCATTTCCATTAGTGGTGTTAGCTATAGTATATGCATTTTCTCAATATGGAATAAGAGCATAAACACTTAAGAAAAGCCTTCTGGATCAGGCCAGTGGACCACCTAGTGCAACATCTTATTCTCACAATGGCCATCCAGATGCCTGCAAGAAGAACCTGAGAACAACAACACTTTTCCCAGGGTTCCCCAGCATACTGCCTCTAACAGTGGAGGTAGAACATAGTAATTCTGAAGCAATGAAGGATTTCACAGAGAAATTAGGCAGAAAGTAGCCTGCCAACTGGAGCTTTATCCAATTACACATGTAGACAAGGGATGGGGAACCTGTGTCCCACCACGTGTTGTTGGACTCCAGTGCCTATCAACCTGAGCCAGCGTGGTCAATAGTCAGAGAAAATGGGAAAGGTAGTCCAACAACATCTGGAGAGCCACATATCTTGTAGACTTTGGGGCCTAACCACTGCATGCTGGAAAAACAACCCACAGATGCCACTTCCATCCTGAATACAGGGTTAGATCAACATAGCGTTTAACCTGACATGAGGCAACTTAATAACCTAATGCTTTACTGGGTTCCCCCACAATGCAGCCAAGAAGTCAACTTTAAACTGCTCACAGATTCACAGATAATCTATTCACATGAACAGTGTGATGTTGTGAAGGCCTCTGGCTCTTCAGAATGGTCTGCCTGAACAATACCTATAGCTTAAAAAAAAATGACAGGAATAACCCAGAATTTGTGAAAAGGGGGTTTCAATAGGCATAGGAGCTGTGAAATCACCTAACATTTTGGGCTGTTCCTTCAGGGTCAGGGGGAAGTAGTTGGGTTTCTTTTTCACAGAAGGGCTGCATTTTTGCAGGAGTTCCCAACACTTGAGTTTTCACTGATTGTGTGACTTGAATAGACCATGAACTGAGGGCTGCACAATTGATTTGGGAGTTTTTAAAGGTCTCTGCTTCCTTCTTTTCAGATGACAGTACTTTGCTATGCCTGACCCAAGCTGAAAACTGCCACTCTCTCCATGTTAATAAATGTACTGGATATTCAAAAAAATATCAAAAACACACTTTTCATGTGTTGCCTCAATGTCAGACGTGTCCTCCAGTTGTTGTTAGATTCCAGCACACATCATCCCTGACTCACATCATTCCATGCTGGCCATTATATGTGTAATAATATGTATAAAATTATACATGTATAAAATTTAATGTATAATAATTCTAATAATACTGTACAAAATATGTGAGAATTGTTCGTATTTTTTAGCTGAACCCCGGAGGAGGGGGCTGCTTCTCATTGGGATTAGGTGAAAAGGGAATTAGAAGGGAGATGTATGAATAAAGCAGAGCATCAAGATTTCCAGAAAATCCCACCCCTACTTCCAAGTGTTTTACTACATCTGTACAACAACAGCCATGCTTTTGACATCTGGGTGCAAAGGCCATTAGCATCACAGGAAAACTCTGCCTACAATAACCAGATTATCTTTTTCTTTCTTAAAAAAAAAAAAAGCCATACCACTTCATGAGATTATTTGAAGTATAACTTTATTTAATCAGCTCTAATCAGAATGGTAAGTTTCAGCCAAGGGGAAATGGAATTGGCTGCTAATAATGAACCGCATGAGTGATAGCACCAGAAAGTCAACTACAGATAGAGAGGGCACAGCTCATCCTCTGCCAGGAAATGAAGAGGAGTATATTAATCTCACTGGTAGATTTGGGAAACTGTTTTAAGATTAGCTCCCTAGGTAAGCTATTTATGTGTCTCTTGGATGCCTTGAGGATCTTGTTGCAGATCATTCATTTGCTCAGCTTCGGTGATAACAGAAGAGAATCAGATACGGGTGGTGTTAAGAAATAGAACTATACTATTTCATCATCAGGGGGCATGGAAGACTTAAGGCCTATACTATTCCAGTCCTTGCTGTGCTCCTAACCATAGAGAGCCTAGAAATTGTAAACATAAGAAGAGTCTACAAGACCAGAACACTGACCCATCTAGTCCAGCATCCTGTTCTCACAGTGGCCAATCAGATACCATTTCCTATGGCAGGTTTTGCAACATGCCTTTACTTATTATTTATTGGGGGAAAAAAATCTATATCACCGACTTTGGGGAGGGGAGGGGGGAACCATGTCAGTTAACAGTATAAAATGACTTTTAAAGAAAATTAACTCTAAAAAAACTCACTCCTGAACCAAAAAACACGGGCGTTGTAAGCTAAATGGCCTGCCAAGTTGTGCTCCATGTAAGCAGTAAATATATTTCGACTAGATGACCCTCATGGTCCCCTCCAATTCTATGATTCTATCTCACAATTTAACCTTACAGCCATTTAAGCCAAATATTGACCCCTTAGTGGCAAGCGCTTGAGTTTTTGCAGTCAAGGACAAGGCTTCTGAATGCCTAATTGCATGAGTGCCCTTTGAAAGTCTTCCCCGAAAGTGCTGACCTTGAGAAAGCAAGTATCTCAAAATACACCCTTTTGCAGAGATTGAAAACCTGTGGCCTTCCAGATGTGGTTGAACTCCCGTTAGACCCAGCCAACGTGATCAATGGTCAGGGCTGATGGGAGTTCTAGTCTGACAACATCTGGAAGGCCACTGATTCCCCACCCATC